TAAGGTTCATACACCATCCAGGGACCCATAGTATGAGGGTATAGGGCCCTGCTCAAAAGGGTCATTTATAGCAATGCCAAGGCAAGAGGAAAGTCTCAGAGGTAAGTGTAGCAGGCATAGGGTTTCAGGGTTTAGGGGTTGAGGGTTTGCGGGTTTAATTTCCAACGCTATTTCTAAGGGTTCCTGACGGAGTTGTGATAGGGAAGAGTATGCATCTCTTTTCCTAGTACCTAGTTATATTTATACCAGGCTGTTCAGTGGAAACAACCTATATACTGTTTCCCAGTGGGTTACTGAACAGCCTAGTGCATGTCTGCATCCCCAAGCCCAGTCTAGTTATTGAGGCTCCTTTCGAGGGCTCCTTTAATAAGAGTACTACAGGAGTTAAAGAGCACAGCTTTAAGATCCTCTCTGTATAGGGTGGTACGAATTAGTGCTTTGGGGTTTTGGGGTCTAGGGTTATCTGCTACCTTCGGGGCTCTGCCCCAGTGAATATGCTATGGATCCCCATAGGGTATATGAACCTGAAGCCCTTTTAGGGTTCTTTTCGTCTTTAAGGTATAGAACCTGTAGCAAACCGATGAAAAGGGCGCACGAAGCCTGTGACCCCCAAAACGCAACGAGTAGCTGAGCAGGTAACCTTTAACCTTTGGGGTTTACCGCTTTTAGAGATTCGAGGTTAACCTTATTTGGGCTAGGATACTCAGCCTCTTAAGCTAAAATGCCCTGAAACCCAGAGCCAAAGACCCTAAACCCCAAACCCCTAGGCCCTAAACCCTCAGCCCCCCTAAGCTAAAATGCCCTACAAGCCAGAGCCGTCTCGATGCCAGGCTCCGATTGAGGCCTTCTCCCCATGGCTGGCCAAGTTTGATGCGCGGAGAAGCTGGCTCAGCTCCTCAGAGGATTGGTGTGAGATGCATATATATATATATATATATGTATATAGATATAGCTTATACTACGATACCTTAACCCCAAGTAGCCTATTCGAAGGACCTATATAAAGACATCATATTAGGGAACCCTAAAAAAGGTAGGTTCCTTAGGGTCCAGGTATTTTTACATGTACATACAGGTTACATAGGAACCTGAACTGCAACGCTGAATGCAGAGCTCAGGTTCTTACGCAAAGGGTTCATGTGCCCTACTAAATCCTACTAGTCCTTCTAGTAGTTTCTTAGGCCGTAAAGAGGTTCTTGTATGGATACTTTAAGGCCTAAGTATATACTACTAGTTACGTGGCTACCCATAGGCCCCAAAGTAGTTCCTTTTTGGGAGTACCTTATAGGATTCTAAATATGAACCTCCAAAACGAACTTCTTTGTGGCCTTAGGGTATTTAGAGCCTCTACCCTAAGGCTCCCAGTAGGTTTAGGGGCTTTGTGGGGGAGGGTTTGGGCTTTGGGGGCTAAGGTTTAGGATCTCACTACGAGGGTCCAGGAGCATTAGGGTAAGTTCTTAACTGTACATGCGGTGCAGAAGTCCGACGCAGGAGCAGCTGGAGGTGCTTGGGCAGTACAGGCGGGGTGGGTTGAGGGGAGAGGTTCGGTCGTATGGTTTAACACTAAGGCTCTAAGGACTCATATTTTGAGGCTTTTGGGCCTAAAGACCACATTACATAATTGAGGCTTTGGGGCCATTTTGAGCCTTAGGGTTACGGTTTGTGCTTGTTGTTTGGGGGCGGCAGGTTCTTGGCGCTGCACCTAACGTAGCGCATGGTCTGCAAAGGTTTCTGCGTTGCGTAGGCCACACCGCCTAAAATCCCGGTTTGCTTTGGCCTCAAGGCCACTACTTGGAGGATCATGGGACTTAGTAACTGGGGTTATAAATAAGGTAACTATACTTATAACTCCAATTAGGGTACTTATAACCTTACTTACTAAGTCCCATGATCCTCCAAGTACTGTAATCACAGCCGCACTAACAGCACATGCATCAACAGTGGCAATGGCCGACCCTTCCTGCGACAACAGGTTGGATCATTCGGATGAGTTTCACCAGCTAGGTCAGGTATGTCATCTCCATTATGACGTAGGTCGTCGCAACCCCATGGCTGTATCCTACCACAAGTGCAGACTAAACATTTCTCCAAGTCAGCCCCACGTTCGAGAGCAATATTGCGAGCAACAACCGGCCGCAACAAATCCACGGAGGTCCCCAGATCGCGGACCGAGTCGAGGAGCTATTCCTGGGCAGTTCTACTGCATGAACGTTCGTACTGGTGCCGCTCAGTGGAAAATGCCGGCAGATCTTATGGCCTCAAAGATCAAATCCCTAAGAGTTGCAGGAGAAGTGAGAAGGCCGTAGGCCACAGAGGTCACCGATGGAGATGTGGCTCTAGAGGCCACCGAGGCGGCTGTGGATCCAAAGCCCTCGGAGGCTGAGGTCCTGCACTGCGATTCAAACCGATAAAAAGATGGAAACTCAGAACTCGCCCTTGAACTAACAGCCTCATCAAGCACTCGCGAAGAAGTCCTTGGGGGTATACGGGTATATATGGTAGCTTTTTGTAGTTCTTCCAAACCCCATAGTGCACCCCAAAACATACACCCTGACCCTCAGAGCCTTAAACCCGAATCCCTACACCCAAAGAGCCCTAAACCCTAGCCTGCCCTAAACCCTAAGCTATAATCGCAAGAGTCCTTTCTCGCACTGTCTGAGGGAGCCTAACCCCAAAGCCTAAGCCTGATGCCTCATAAAACAAACCTTAAAAACCCACACCCCCACGCCCCGGTAAAAGAAGACAGAAACCGAAATCCTAAAGCTTATAAAGCCCTACAGATCCCAACCCCCCAAGCCCTAAAATGCCTTCTTGAACTCAATATCCTTGTTTGGAACCCACAATCCTAAACCTTCAAAATCCTTCTGCAAGCCTGTACCCTAAAACCCTAGCCTTCTAAACCCTTAACCCTCAAGCCCTTAAACCCCAAAACCCAAAACCCCGAACCCTAGACCATGAATCCCGAACCCTAGACCTTTTTTTTGTCTAAACCCCAAAACGCCTTATTATCAACACGCAAAATCCTGAACCCAAAACTCTAAAACTCTGAATTCCTAAAGCCTAAAACCCTGAAGTCTTAAAACCCAAAACCCTAAAACCATAAAAGTTCCTAAACCCTGTGAAAAAAACGAAACCTCGGAGGGGCCTGGAGCGACCCATGCCTCACGGCCACGCCACGATCACGCGCTTCGGGCCGCAGGTCCCGAGCTCCCCCGGAGCCCTACTGGGAGGGTCGGGGGATTTAGTAAGGGGTTCCTTTAAAGGGGTCCTTTAAAAGGGATCTATAGGGATTCTATAAGGGTATAGGATTTTGGGTTTAGGGGGGCTTAGTCACTGGTTATTTTAGGAACTTACAAGTACCATAGCCCCAATCAGGGTCCCTTTTAGGGTACTTATAAGTCTACTTACTACCTACTTACTAAGTCTCCCGACCCTCCAAGTGGAGCCCTACCTTCGGGGTCCGTCCAAAGGGATTTTTAGGATTCTTTAAAGGATATAGGGCCTACTTGAAGGTTCATGGGTAGTTATAAGTGGAGTTATAAGTGTGATAACTATAGTTATAAACCATAGTAGGGGACTTATAACCCTACTTGTAACTACTCCATGAACCTCCAGGTAGGACCTAGGGTAGGCCCATATTCCCTTGATTAGGGTTTTAGGTTCCCTTATAGCCTCCTCTACCCTCAAGCCCTAAAACCCTAAACACTAAATCCTAAACCCCTTAAACCCAAACCCTAAAACCCTTAATATTAATATCAAGGCTTTTGGGCGCAAAGACCATACAATGTAAGGCTTTTGGACTATTTTGAGGCCCAGGGAAAGGGGTTGGGGGTTTAGGAGTTGGGGGTTTCCGAAAATAGGGGACCCCTAATACAGTACCCTAAATAGTAGGATCCTCATTCTAAGGACCACCGAGATGAGGCGCCTAATTTTCGGAAATTCCCATTTGGGGCGGGTACCATAAGGGTTTCTGTTACGGGGTACCATAAGGAGGGGTTCCAAATGGTTCCATAAGGGTCTCTGTTGAAGGGTACCGTGAGGGTTCCTACTTAAGGGTACTATGCACGGTGGGTTTAGGATTTTGGGGCTAAGGGGTTGAGGGTTTAGGGGTCAGGGCTGTAGGAGTGTTAAGGGTTTGTTTTTTGTTTGGCTTTCGATGTTGCTTGAGAACATAATCCGTCAGATATATGGTGTTTCACAGCAGGGTGCTGTGGCTTTAATCGCAAGAAGGTTCCGGTGCTTCATAGCAGGGCGACGAAGTACTTTACGCTATGTCCGTTTCGAAAAGCACCCTTAAGCCTAGTTTCGCGAAACCCTAATCCCTAAACCCCTAACCACCTGAACCCTATAGACCCCTAAAGCCTAAACCCCTGACCGTAACACTAACTGTCACTAACCTTGAAAAATCACAGAATACTTCGGTAAACCCCTAATATATTAAACCCCAAGCCCAGGCAACCCTGAACCCCTAAACCCTAAACTCCTTGACCCTGAGCCATGCCAGCTTCTCATCATGGCTTCCAAGCAGATGCCGAAACGCCTGGCGCATGCCTCAGCCGGCTCCCACTGCGGGGGGTTTAAGGTTTATAAGGCGCAGGGTTACGGGTTGTTTAGTTTTTTTAAAATAGCGTTTGAGCGTTTAGGATCCAAATTTTTGGGCCTCCCATTGTTAAGGGCCAGGGTGATTTAGGGTCGCAGGTTGCGAGGGTTGTCAAAGACTCCATGTACCTTATTTATAGTAGATACTTAAGCCTTAAAGGGCTCCCTATATAGGTACTTTAAGGCCTAAGTATATATAGTATAAGGGCACATGGAGCCTTAGGGTAAGAACAGCAGGTTCAGAGCACTGGGTGCAGGTTTGGGGTCGGGATCTCGGTGGGAGGGTTGCAGATCATTGACAGTGATATCTTAGAAGCTGCCCCCACCCTGTAATAGCGGTATAATAGGAATATAATAGGGCCCTGATATTATCCTTATAGTATCCTTATGGACACTATTACAGGGTGGGGGCAGCTTCTAAGTGATACCTCCGGGTCGTAGTCTCGTGGTTTAGGTCCAGGAATTGTCATGAGGGGTTAGGTTGCCGGCGCTAACACGCTGCTGCTCGTCTGAATGTGGTTCATGCCGTAACACTGGCAAGGTTTCCTTCCTAAATCCTGAACCCTGAACCTTACATCCTAAACCCTAAACCCTGAACCGTAAACCCTAAACCCTAAACCCTGAACCTTAAAGTGTGGATCCCAAAACCTACCGTTTTTAGGGTTAGACCCTAAAAAGGAGGGGTCATAACCTACTATTTTGTAGGGTTTGGGGCCACAGGTATCCCCAACGAGACACTTCTGATGCTCAGCCCGGGCTGTCGTCCGTTCGATGAAGTCCTCAATTTCCCCGCTGCTCATGTGTGCTCTTAGGAATTCTGTTTCGTTTCTTGTATAAACAGACTCCAAGGGATCATTCAACACTGTAAACCCTCAGTCCTCAACCCTTCGTTCTGGTTTCGGTTAGAAGAAGTTGCAAAGGGGTTTAGGGTTTAGGGTTTAGGGTTTAGGGTTTAAAAGTTTAGGGTTTAGGGTTTAGGGTTTAGGGTTTAGGGTTTAGGGTTTAGGGTTCAACAACGTTAACTTAGTTATGGTTCTACGAGCGCCGAAGTGTTTAGGCCTTCCCTTATCATGGCGCAGGTCGCAGACATTGACCTTTAGCCTTAAGCGTCGACACTCTAAAAGGCCGGAGCTCCCCCCCAAAAAAAATCGTCCCTTCCGAAATCCAGCTTGGACCCCAAGTAGGACACTCTCCTAGGCTTTTAAGGCCTAACTAACTAATCCTTGAGCGCAGTGGTGGCGTTGATTCTCGCGAGGTGGTCCTCGGAAGCGACGAGTATGAGCGCTCTTGGCTGCAACCCAACACCCTTGACGGCTTTTCTGGGTAGAATTCTTCTTGTGCCTTTCCAACTTGGAGAGATTTGTTGTTTGCCGTTCAGGGTGCCAGTCCAAGATCTACGATCCATACCAAATCCGAGACCGCAAATCCCAAGCCGCAAGCAAAACCTTCAGCTCCAGATCCTGAACCCTAAATGCAGCGTGAGGATCCGATCTACGTGATACTGGGGCCCGAAAAGATTTACCGATACTATTTTTTTGGGGTCATGTACTCATATAGTATATACATTGGCCTCTAAGTCCTTCCTATCTAGATACTTCGGGCCAAAAGTATATGCTCTTTGGGTACATGGACCCTTAAACCCTAAACCCCTATAGGAACCCTTGTATGAACCCTTATAGGGTTCAAACTCCGGCTAAGGGTTTTGGGGTTTCGGGTTTGGGGTTTTGGGTTTAGGGTTTTAGGGTTTGGGGTTTAGGGTTCCGGGGTTTCGGGTTTGGGGTTTAGGGTTTGGGGTTTGGGGTTTAGGGTTTGGGGTTTAGGGTTTAGGCTTTAGGATACCCTACCTGACCCTGAATTCTAAACCTCGAGCTCTAAAACCTACTCTCCAAAATTGCCCCAAACACCTCCAAGACTGCATCCCTCAGAGACCTGCTGCCCCTCCTAATGTCCCTCGAACGCGAAGGATCACCCCTGAAAGGGTTTAGAATTCATATACGGTTTGGGGTTTAGGATTTAGAAGGCTTTTAGGGTTGGGGGCTATATTGAGTATTGGGGTTCATAGTAGAAGGGTATAGGGTCCTTACTTCTAGCCTACACCCCTAAACAAACCCTAAAGCGTCCTATACCCCTAATCTCGGAGCCCCTGAACGGCTGTAAACCCTACTGGCCTAAACCCTAACCCCTGTTTGCCCCCTCTCCTAGGCACTGGTTCCTCGTGAAGGGCGGCGAGGCGAGACAAGTGTTTTTTGTTTTCTAGGTCTCATCGTTTTTTTACAAGAGTTGTTCATTCCCTACGGACCTGGGTACTCATAAAGTATATACTTGGGCCCTCAAGTATCTATATATGGGCTACTTTGAGACCTACATGTGTACTACTAGTATACGCTAGTACTAGAATAGGGAACCTTTAATCTCCTTTCAGGGTCCCACGTTCGACACCTTCTTGAATCCATGATCGTGCCAGGAGTCCGAGTCCTGAAACCTTCGTATCGCATCCCCCGATTCACACCTCGTCCGTTACCGGCCTGCTTCCCATCACACTTTCTCGGCTTAACTCGCAAATTCGCGAAGGTCGTCTCGCGCCTTTCGCTGGGGACGCAGCTTATTCCACGTGGGCTTTAACCTTTTTTGGGTAGTATCGTCCCTGTATAATCCTTATATATCCAACAAGGTTAGCCCTGGTTCCCCACGATACCCGACAAGTATTATAGTCAGGATCCTACTATTTAGGGTGTTTGATATTAGGGTCCCCTACTTTCGGAAACCCCCAGATGGGTACATCGACCCTTTGGCCTTCTCTCCAGGGGTTGGTCTTCAGGATGTCCGCTTGGACGAGCGCGTGGAGCAGCTCTTCGGCATCGTGAACGGCTTGGCATCGAATGGCACAGCCTCGGGGCTAAGGCTCGCGATCACTGGGGGAACTTTAGTCATTTGGTCTGTTCGTTTGGTTGTGTGCGCGCACACACATAAGTATTAAATATGTGTGTGTGTACATATATGTATATATAAATACTACATGCATATGTATATGTGCATATACACACATGCAGATACACATGTACATAGTCATAAATCAGTAACATTGTTTTTTATCATTCTACTAGCTTCGAAGTTGGCTTTGCAGGGGATGAATTTGTTGTTTCTTTCGGGGCCCGGTTGCACAGTGATATGAAGATGCATGATGATTTGTTCAACTGCCTACATCTTGGACATGTCACTATGTGTATGTTAACTCAGGCATAGACATGCCACTTCGGTTGATGGTTGTTTGATTATCGCGAGCATCCTTGTGTTGTCGCGGTTGATTTCTGTCAGCGTGGTCTTATGAGTCCCACAATAGGGTCTGCTAGCCTGTGAGATATAGGGCCTCAGTGTTGCACTCGCAGTGTAGTACAGTACTCTGGTATTATAGTGTTATAGTACTATAGCTTGTGGTTCAGATCAGACTTCGGGGTTGCAGGTACTTTCTGCGACAGCTTGGGATGGTAAAGGGGTGCTACTTGCTGATTACAAGTGTGAAGGGATCCTCGGTTCCTGTATGGTGGAAGCATCTACAAACCTCAATAGCACCTTAGGCTTCAAAGGTTCAGCCAGTATAGTTTAACTAACAAGGCTTGGGGTCCCAAATACTATCCTCTGCGTGGCTTGTGGTTCCTAACCCCTACTCTTCGGGCGCTGGGATCCCTATAAGGCAGCCCGCTAAACTGTGTCCACCCAAACCCTAGTCCCTAGCGCCTAGGGCCTAAAACCTATACCGCAGACCTGAATCCCTAAATTCTTTAACCCCTAGCCCTAAACCTTAAACGGTGTTTTTGGGTTTCGGGATTCGGGTTTAGCGTTTAGGGTTAAGGACGACATGAACCATTAAAGGACTCGTTTCAGGCTTCATGAAGGGTTCCTACAAGCGCCATAACAGGGTCTGCAGATTAGGGTGTTGGGCTTAAGGACGACATGAACTCCAGAAGGGTTTGTGGGTCGTATACCATGTAGTGACTCAGAATATCCCTGAGACACCAAGTATGCAAATAGTACCTACTTCGGCCTCCAAAGTCGACAAATGGTACCTACTTTGGGCAATTCGGCGTCTCAGGGTATGAGGGTATCGGGCCCTTCTACTTAGAAGAATCATTCGGTCCCACGACTGGGCTTCCTTGTTTCGGCGTAGCTAGGGTGGCGGGTGTAGGGTTCTGGGGCTTGGGTGCAGCGCCAGTCGCCGATATGTAGAGGTCCGATAGATAGTCGATGCTACTATACTCTTCGGTAATCATTACGGCTGCTATTAAAGGCCCTATACTCTGTGCATGCTGGTTCAAGTGATTATTCCTTGTAGCCCTGGCTAGTGCTTCAGAGTGGTGCTCCAACGCTTTCGATGCCAATGGGGATCCGCCCTATTTTCCTCGCTTTGGCGGCGGCTGCCCCAAGCGTCTACAGCCAGGGGCATCAGGCTTCCCTCCCTTCCCTGCCTTCCTTAGCGACTGGGCTGCCTTGAGACCTACGGTTGACCCTGAATTACCCAGTATAATAATAAGGGAAATCCCATCATTCCAAGAGTCTGAGGTCATTAAGGTAATGCAAAATTTATATCATCAACCGTAGTTTGCGCATGCTTGACGTGTTGTTTATAGGGTGTCGGCGCTTCGGGTCGGCGGGGGGTGTCCGGCATAGGTTGGGAATGCTTGGATCTGGGACCTACAGTTTCTAGATGCAGACTCCTTTCAGACCCAAGTGATATAGTTGTCTTTGTAATAAGTAATGAGACCCAGACCATGTTATATAAGGCTTTCGGGCCACTTGGAGCCGCAGTGTTACTGTTTTATTCGCATTCTGCACTTCGACCCCGCAGAGAAAGCTTGAATGCAAAACCTGAATCGTGCAAATACGATAGACCTCAGATCCTAAAACCCAACCTGAAGCCGGAAAATCCTACACAGAAATCACAAAAATAGAGTTTTCAGGGTTGAGGTAGAGCTTACAAGATCCTAACACCAAGATCCTGCCTTGTTAATATTATGCGGGCATCTGCAGATTTACAAATAATACTAAGGACAGACGGCCGAATGATTACCAACATTATTGCTTAGGGTTCCGTTTGTAAATTGCAAAATATTTCAATAGCCACATTTCACTGACTACGGTTCCTACAGTTCTTGTATTTTCCATTTGTCCTTGACGTTTGCATTGCTTGGGCTACCAGCTGTCGGGTTGAAAGCACCGCATCCTCTCCCTAAAGTCCTGAAAAAACTCAGCCGGGTGCCGGACTATTGGGTTTCTATAGTAATTAGGCCTCATAGCCTTCTTCGAACTATTAACCATCAAGTTACATGTTGGTAGTTCTCTAAATCAGGGTCCAGTTTTGGGTGTCCACAACAGTACGGCGCCCTTATTAAAAGGACCCTAAAAGGGACGCCAAGATTGGAGAACTGCGCATAAGCATGTTTTGACTTTCGGCAAGGAAGCGGAACCAGACCGTTGACACACAGAAACCTGAAACCCCACTTCATGGGACACGGTAAGTAAGGCTTATGAGTACTGTCACTGGGCAGTATATGCCATAAGTAGCGCGGGTCCCCCAAAGATAACCCTGTAGAGTTTAAGGGTGAGCCCAGGCAGGGCCCTGCGCTGCAGGGCTGGGACGGCCAGTGCCAGGCAGTCCTTGCATGGCATGCTCAGCAGGCGGGTGTGCTGATAGCAGAGCAAATCCCACAAAATAGTAGGTTGCTAGGTATGGATTTGGGATAATTTCCAAGTTCCCTATTGTTCATTATAAGAGCCCAATTAGAAATAACATCGGGGACTGTTGAAATCGACACCTAGTTATGACCTATAATGTTCCCAGACGGCATGTTGCGGGGCTTCATCATCGCGGTTGGTCTAGAACCCGAACCCCGAAACCCTGAGACCGAAAACCTAGACCCCAAACCCTGCAGCTTTAACCCGAGACCCTAAACCCTAAATCGCACTGCTAAACCCCAAGCCCTCAAAACAGTTGCGCTCTTTTTGATCAAAAGCTCAACCCTAAAGTATACTTAAACCCTTAATCAAAAGCCCTATATAAATCCTGCACCCTATAAACCCGGAGGTACAGAACCCTAGAACCGAAGCCCTATAAACCCGGAGGTACAGAACCCTAAAATATGTCTAATTTAGACATCCAATAAACTCCAAACCCTAATCACATGGAGGTACGGATTTGGGATCATACTTAATTTCCTTTTTTGTTTAATATAGAGCCCCAACCACAAGGCTCTAAGGCCTTTGGTCCTACAGACTGTATTATGTGAGGCTTTTGGGCCATTTTTGAGCGTTAGGGCAGCTATTAATAGTCCTACAAACCCTAAACCCTAAACCCTAGACCCCAATCTGGAGGTACATGGAGCTCCGAGGGGCCCAGCACTTGCCAGCGCTGCCCCGCCGGCCGCTACAACAGCGCCATGGGGGCAACGTCGGTAGCCTGGAGAAATTATAGTCCTAAGTCTCTAAGGATTCATCCTAAGGCTCTAAGGACTCATGTTTTTTCGGGCTTTTGGGCCGAAAGACCAGATTGTACAAGGTTTTTTGGGCCATTTTGAGACGTAGGGTTAGGGTGTAGTGGTTAGGTGTTTGGGTCTAGGGTTTTGAAAACATCTAGAAACAAACAAGTTTTTCGAAGGACTCTGTTCCAGGACTCCTCTGTTGTTTGTTGTCATGTTTTCGGTACCTGAAACCTATATTATTTTTGGTACTTGGACCCGAAGGGTAGCAACGTTCCATTAGGGTTGATTCAAGCTTTAGTTGTCTTTTAGTCCTAAACCCAAAACCCAACGACCCCCAAACGCCCGAATCGAAGCCCTAAACCCTAAAACCCCCAAGGCCTAACCCCAGGCCCTAAGCCCCAACTAAGCCCAGCCAAAACCCTAAACTCTAAACCCTGAACCCGGAAACCCTAAACCCCTCAGCCCTAAAGCCTAAACTCCCTAAACCCCATAAACCCCTAAGCCCTAACCGCTAAACTCTAAAGCCCTAAACCTTAAACTAGAATGAAAAAACTAAGCTCTCACCCCTATACTCTGAAGCCCTACTTCACCCCTAAACTGTAAAGTACTAAACCTTCGCCCCTAAACTCTCAAGCCCGTATTTTTTGAAGCCTAAGCCGAAAGGCAGAGGCTTCTAGCCCCAAGCCCTAATCCCTACACCCCCAAGCCCTCTTCCCTAAACCCTCAAAATCCCAAAGCCCTGTATAACCCCCTACTCAAACCGAAGGCAGAGGATTGCTCGCCCTGCCCGGCGGGGGCATGGAGCAGCCAAGAAGGAGCGGCGTCCCCGAAGGCACTCGGAGGGTTTTGGATTGCGACTTAGGGTTTATAGCCCTGAGGCTCTGAGGACTCATGTTTTCAGGCTTTTGACTTTAGGGTTTAGGGTTTAGGGTTAAAGACCATATTATATAAGGCTTTTGGACCATGTTGGGGCTTTTGGACGCAGGGTTTCGAGTTTAGGGTTTAGGGGTTAAGTCGGGTTTAGGGTTTACATGTTGCTGACCTTCTCGTGTTGTTGTGGTGTTGACGAGATGGTATATAATCTCAGCTCTCTGTGTATAACTCGGTTTCGTGTCCTTTCGGAAAGACAATGGCAAACCTGCCATTTGGCAAGGCCTGAGCCTTCAGTTTTCTGCATAGACCCAGTATCTAAACAAACGAAACGGTTCAGTGTCTAGGGTTGATGGTTTAGTGTTTGGGAGGTCTCCCAACGGCGGAGTAAGCTTGAAACCAATCCCAAAAGATCAACACACTCCATGAAATTCTGACGTCACTGTAGGGAGCCGGGAATTGAACGCTCGTCTGAGCAGAGGAGTCCCCTTCTCTGTGCTTTGTATTGTGATCCTTTACTCGAGCTACAATTCCATGATAAGATAGCGTATGCTAGGA